CTTCTCTGCGAAGGGAGGGCTCTGAGACAGTTCATTCCCCAAGAATCAGCAGCCACAGTGTAGATAAATGTTCATTATTTGTTTGATTGAGGGGTTTCTACCAAAAATGTACTTTTAATAAAATAATAGCATAAATAGAGAAGATTTAGAAACACTTTCAGGTCAGAAGACTTAAAGAAAAAAGTTACAGAGGCACTACTGAGCAGGCTAATGTTAAATTGTCAAGGCCTATTAAAATAAACATTGTTCTGTAAACTAACTCTGACTTGCTCATTAGACTAGATTTGGAAGCATTTCTGAGTTGTAGCTCTTTCGTGGTTCTATTTTCTGAAAGTATAGAACAAAGACGAGAGTTGTGGCATACTAAGAAGGATAATACTAGTCAGTCTTATTGTAGATGACACTAACTGGGCAGTTACAAGTGCTTTAGTGCATTAGCTCATGCAACCTTGATATGTTACTATGTGGTAAATGTTACTGTTTCCATTTCATAGATGAGGATGTGGAGGCTGACAGCTTAAGTAACATAACCGAGCCACAAGCAAGTTTGACAAAGTCTTGTCTTAAACACCCCCTGAGGTCACTTTTTCTTTCTCTGTGAACTTTAACAAGAATGGTCATTTTCAATTTTAAAGTGTTTGTGTTGTCAAATTGAGAGGCCTTGACAGTCACACAGTAAGGTCCTGCCTTAAATGTTCCCCATAGCCACTTTTTCCTTTACCTATGCACTTTAACTTGAATATTTTAAATTTTCTGTTGTCTAATGGAGAATCCTTGCCTTACTAGTAAGGTTCCAATTTATAATTTTCTTTTAATCCTAGTATTTTACCATCTTCTCCTGGCAGAGAAAAAATATGAGAATAAATGAAAAAAAAAGAGTCTTTTTTCTCTACCTATAACTAAGGCACTAACATTTTTAAAAGCCAATCAAAGAGTCTTCTTTTGCTTTTTCTGCAAGAACATATCAGGGGGCGATATGACCTCCAAATGTCAGATGTCTCTCATGATGTTAGCAGCCTTCGATGATCACTGCCTAGATACTTTGTTTTGCAAAAGAATGATATTCTAATTCCTTTATGCCTTTTTTAGTCGAAGAACAACTCATAGTTCATATAAGAAAAGTAGAGGAATTGATTTTTTTCCTTTTTTATACATCAGTTTTTAAAATAATACATTAGTTCCCCAGCATCCTCTGAAGGCTAGGATTGCTGTTCTATTTTGATTATCATTACGAATGCATGGATTTAAACTTACTTGATGTTTCAATCTATTACTGTAACCTTTCTTATTTATCCTCTAATTATCCCATCTTTAACCAGTAGGAGACTCTTCAAGTTGGCTCCTGAGTCCTGTTAATGCGAACTCTGTGGTCTCTAATAGTCTCTGTTCTTCCTGGTACGGCTGGGTGCTCCTGAATCATTCTGTACTTTTCCTGCTCCAGACTTGGGATCAGTTACTTCTACAAGTAATCCTGGTTTCTGTTAGTGGAAACCAGAGTGTAGAGACCAGGACTGGGTACTCTGAGGGGTGCTCTGTAGTAACTACAGGTTTCTTCAACAAATAAATTGAGAAGAGAGGAGTGAGGAGAGTGGGAAGGAAAGAGAAGAGCAGAACTTACAAGTGAAAAGAGAGTTAAAAGACCAAACTGATAACAAAATGATAAGACAGGAGGGCAAATAGCAAAACTACTAGATACCTGATGATTTTAAGCAATTACTATTATATGATACTTTAAAATATTGCTACCATTGTCACACTTTTAAAAAAGCCCTTTTCTTTTAGAGATATTCATTAAAGTAATTATAGATGTATTGATAAATTGTTTGGACTTGACTTAAATAATCTCGGGTGGAGGAATGAGTAGGGTGGTGTAGATGAAATAAGATTAGCCATCAGTTCATCATACTATCATTCTCTCTACTTTTGTAGAGAGAATTTTCCATAAAAACTTAAAAAGCTATTTTGACATAGTCAGCTTCATATAACATTTTAAAAATGGAACCTAAAACTAGTCTTCATCATCTTATGTACATATTTGTGCTTGGGAGATGCTAGAGTTGTTTGATTAATAAGAGTTGAGAAGCACTGATTACTGATTACGTAGAAAGACTACATTATCAAGAACATTCAAAACTGATTTTTAATAAAGTCTAGAGTTAGAAAAATGATTAAAGCTATAATCACACTAATGATTAAACCATTCTAAAGCCTGCTTTTATGAAAAAAAGAGATGAAGAAGCAATGTTGAGAAACTCTTGAGAAGCCAGAGGCAACTTAATGGAGCAGTCTAAAAAGACATCCACTTCATAGTCTCAGAAACTAAAGGGCATACCACGAGCTTGCATACAAAATGCATGTGGGGTCTGGAAACGCACAATTAACCAGTGAGGGATATGTATGGCTCCCTTTTATCCCTTATGCAAAAAAAAAAAAAAAAGAAGAAGAAGAAAAGAAAAGAAAAAAAGAAAAGGAAGAAATCACAGTTCAAATAGTGATAATGCTCAACTAACACTCTGGGACCTACAGGGCAATGATGGATAGAACAAAGATAAGATCAAAGCAAGCAAGATAGAAAATTACTTTTCAGATAATGAAAATTATTCAGACCATGTAGTAGGAGTGGCAAACTGAAAGGCTTTCTGGCACCAGGCTAGGGTGAATGCCAGTCCCCGCCTTGTGCGCGAGGGAGGGCAGGAACCAGCGGAGAGCAGGTGTCATCTGTCTGGCAGGTACAGCTGCCACATAAGAACAAAAGCATCCTGTTATTAGTTCTTTCGGTTAGAGAAGCCAGGAACTGACAGTTTCCAAGGAAATCTCCTGGTAACACATTATAAAGATAAAGGCCAATGCCCCAATATAAAAGCTCCAAATGTCTGGCCAAGACATCTAGAGGCCAGCTCTTTGCAACCTTTGCTCTGTTCTGTCACAATCCCAAAACCTGCTGCTCTAAAAGAATTCGCAACTAGCTGGGTAAAAGTTGGTGTGCCTCAAAATCACCGGGCAAGCTTGTGAGAATGCAATTCCTGAACATCACAGAGACTATTTTCCTATTATTATTATTATCATATTATTATATCCTATTATAATATTATTCAGGTTCTTGGGTAGGTCCCAGAAAGTTGTATTTTGATAAGCACTCAGGTAGGTCACTTTGAAGCATGTGGTCTGTGATCTACAGATTGAAAAACATTAAGTTAGGGAAACTATGAACACTATATATTTTGAGAAATATCTAAAGGGATGTAAGTTCAGAGTAAGAGGATATTGGTAGGGACTATCATTGAGGATAAAGCTCTGTGGGTTGAGGACCGATGAAGATGTGAGTCATGAGGGATGAAGATGAGAGCTTTCTGACTGTAAGACACACCTGTGATGGTCTAGTGTCAGTGCACTGCAGAATTGCTGAGAGCAACGAATTGTCCAGTAGCTTTGAGATTTCAAAATGGTAAGTACTTCCTTAAAAAGTGCTTGATGCTGATTTATCACAGCTGAAATATGAAAAGGCTAAGGTTCAGAAAACACACAATGGCTGGACCTAAATTGGCCATAAAAGAAAAAAATGAAATACATTCTATAATATTTCAAAGGTTGGTCAAAAGCTATAGTATATTCTGTGATAGCCACTAATTTATTATCACTCATAACTGTTCTGGTATCTAATTCAGGTAGAGAAGTAGCAAGACAAGGGGTGTGTGTGTGTGTGTGCACATGTGTCTGTGTGTCGGCCATGTTTATGGCTTACATTTTTATCTTCTAAAGCCAGGATGTAGAAGGAAGTTTGGTTCAAAACCATTGCTCCAGTGGTATCTCTAAACAACATTTGCTCATCCCGTTAGGGAATTATGAAAATAGCTCTATATGCAAGAAAACTATCAAAATCAATTTACTGTTGTTAATAGCAGAACACAGGGCTATGTTCTTGCTTCATTAATGTCTATTATTTACTTTCCAGTAATGGACTAATAGCTTTCAAAGACCAGGAACAGGTCAGACTCTATTCTGTGTGAGATCACAAAAGCAAGGTAATGGTGGTAAATATCTGAAATTTCCTGTGTACAGATTATTGCATGTTTCTAATAAAAAATAATGCACAGGCTTCTTTAAGCCATTACACCAATACTGTGCTTTACTCTGTTCTGTGTCAACGACCCAAAGACAGCCAGAGTGAGTGCTCATAGTTTAATTCACATAGAAGATGACCTGCCATTTTGCCAAATAGCTTATCTTGCATTTCTTTTGTTATCTGGGTTGTCATTTCTTACCACACTATCCAATGTCTAACCTTGCAAAGAAGTAGTTATTCAATTGGCAAGAGCTAGTGCTGACAGATGGCTGAAAAAGAGTTTCTCTCAAGATATGCCATTACCTAAAAGCTGTCAAATAATGCGTACATTTCTTTCGTGGTTATTACAATGGAGATGAAGAAAAGTGCACCATCTTAGAAGTAAACTGAATTTAATGAAACTCTTATGACATTTAATAAAATGGTGAAACAATATTCCAAGCCCACAGCAGTAACCCAGAAATGTAACAAAAGGCAGAAGAATCTATTATGATGTTCCTGGTGGTGGGCAGTGGGAGATCATTTCCCCCAGGTAGGTAATATTAGAAAATATAAGACGTTTCTGCAGGTAGCTGTGCGACCCCAAGTGCATTTCTAGGCATGCAATCAAAAGAAATTCTAAAGAAAGTGGAAGCTGATGGCAAATATATGCTCTAAACAGGGTATAGCTTGTCACAAAGGGATTTGGTTGCTTGTAGAAAATTGTGTGAAAAAAGTAAAGGTAAGGATAGAACTGAGCAAAATGGAAGGTGGATCTGCTCACAGCAAAAGTGGGGTTGAAATCTGTGGCTCTAAGTTTCTAGCCATTCATGAGATCTGTGTGCACGTATATATTTGTAGGTATATGTGCATGTCTATTTAATATTCACTTATTTTTTATTGAAGTATCATTGATTTATAACGTTGTGTTAGTTTCAGGTGTACAGCAAAGTGATTCAAAAATATGGAATGCTTCACGAATCTGCGTGTCATCCTTGCACTGGGGCCATGCTAATCTCTGTATCGTTTCAGTTTTAGTGCATGTGCTGCCGAAGTGAGCACTACTTAACAGCCTGTAAGACTGTTACACAGCTCAGACAACAAGGAGAGAAACAACTCTTCATCTATCTTTGTTCTTCCAGCCAAGTAATTCAGAGCTTCTCTCACAGAAGTTATCTCACATTTCACAGATGTGAAATCCCATTATTACAAGATATGCCATTATTTTAAAAGGTTATCTACATAAACTGTATTATGGAAATGTACTCAAACAGAAAATTCCAAAACCAAGTGTGCTCAAATTTACCAAAGTAATATCAAAATTGAGCACAGTATGTTTGGTGAAGTCTAAGATAGAGAGTCCAAAACATGATGATATGTCACAGTTATTAAAAATGCAGCTGCCCAGCCTGAGCTCAGAGCCACTAAAGTGAAGGGGCCCATATAGGGACTGGACATTTCCACGAACATAAGTTTCAGCACTGATTCTCTTATAGAGCCATGAAAGAATTCCTAGTACAGTATCACGGGTTTTGTGGGATTTCGTGTTAAAGATCTGATATTCTTCAACACCAATAACATTGATACGTTGTAAAACAATGTTTTTAATGCAAGAAACAAATCAGTGATTGAAATTATTTAAAGGAATGAAATATGATTCAAGAGCTGTGAAACTGGTCCACAATAATATGTATTGCAGAATAAAACGGAAACAAGAAGATAATCTAAAGGTGAAGAAAGAAAGAAGAGAGAGAGAGAGAGAATTTGGTATTCAAATGAATGGGTGAAGGCATCACAATACTCAGCTGGCAGTCACAACAATAATGCTGAGTCATCCATTAAAATGTGCTCAGTCTCTCTCACAGGGCTACATATCCATTATCTGGAAACTTCATTTATAAAGAAACATTTTCTAATAACTATAATAATAATAACTCACGTTTACTTTATTTAAAAAAATCCTCTTGGCAGTCCTAGGAGGCAAGTACTGTCACTATCTCCATTTTGTAAGAGGAAGCTGAGATGCAGGGACTGCAGGATTTGTGCCGGTCCGAGAGCAGGACTGAGGGGCTGGGTGCGTTCTCTTACCTGCTCCACACACGGCCTCCTAACTTAGGAGGCAGGTGGGAGAGAAGAGGAAGAAGGGGAAAAACTAGGAGGGAAATGAGAAAAAAAAGAAAGAATAAAGAAAAAGGGAAGTGGGGGGAGGCTGGAGATGCCCTTCTGATGAAGTGAAGACTATGAGGTGCCCTGACCACAAGCCCTCCTTGCCCTGCTTCTGACCCATCTACACCATACTCACTCTCTCTCCAGTGTCAGGTCTAAGGGCCGAACTTCAGCTACCTACACCCACCTCCACCGTACCCTCCACAAAACCCATCTACATCTGCCTGCCTCTCAGGGTACTAGACTCCTTTTTAAATTCATCAGTAGAAACAGATCAGTGATGGGAGCTGATTCATTGCAAGGGAACTAGTCGAGTTATCTGCCATTCATGCCTAGATTTGAACAAGGACATTTGAGGCAATGCTTTAACCCAAAGTCATTCTGGAGTTCCTGCTTAAAAGACATTCTCCGGGAGGCAGGAGGAAGACACAGCTTGGGGCACACCTAAGACCGCACACTTTAATTAGGTGACAATTCCAACTTTTTGGAATAATAATAGCTATTTGTATTTTCATTAGCTTTACAAACTATAAAATGTCTTCATTTACTGTATACCCTATTTGACCCTCATATAATTCTGTGAGGGCAAAACATTCCTATTTTATAGGTAAAGAAGCCAACTTAGAGGTATCAAGGAGATGGGGGCAGAAGGTGCAAAGCAAAGACTCGAATCCAGGCACTGTGGCTCCAAATACTGTGCTCTTCTCATAACTGCCTTCCCCGGCATGAGGGTAACTCAAAAACCCAAGATGCACCAGTTTAAGATCAAACAAAACACCAAGTTGCTGTTGCTAATGAGATAAAGCTGACATGAAATACAGTGGGATAATCTAGCTGGACAAAGCAGTAGTAGTGAATTTATTTTTGTTTTTAAACAAAACTAAATCAAAAAGTTATTTTCAGAACCAAAGATTTTTTTTTATCAACTCCTTCCAAGCTTACTGACGAACACCCAAGGCAACAAAATCTGTCTGCAGCATAGGAAAGTCAAACTCTTTTAAAGTCTGGTAGTAATGACAGTGTCAGGAACCGAGAGGATTAGCTCCTGTCAATAACCCTGGTAGAAACATGTTTCAGAAGACCCTGTAGCACCCTTCTGTATGTCAGCCCTCACCTATGTGAGAAGTCTGTGTTGACATACAGAGAGACTTTTATAACAATTGCAGTAGAAATCCTCCCCTGCACAGGCTACTTATTAGACTAGAGTCGGTTGCCAAAGGTCTAAATCCCCACAGGACAGTCATTTTCATTTTTTTTTTTCCAAGATCCCACTATTTCCCTCTTAACT